CATGGATCATGACAGTGCCCTCGCTCCATTTAACAGCGCCCCAGAAGAGGAAGTGATACTTGGAGGTAGATCTCAATTTTCTTTGTTTTTTTATCTTCTCTCTTTCTGTTTACATATAGATGTATAATCACGTGAGGTACAATAATTTAAATCTTATTTTCCGTCAGCTAAGCCAGTACAATTAGCTGAGCGGGAATAAAGTATCAAAGTCAGTCTAAATATGAGGATACTTAGAAACGTTAATGGTGTTGAAATATATACCTTAACAACTTCACAATTTTAATTTTATTGTTCTAACAGAAATATACTATATTTGTAATCCCAGTATTCTGTTATTTTCGTGTTTCAAATATGGTAGCGTTAACATTAGAACATTAACATTAACAACATTAGAAAAAACAATAAACAATTAAACATTAAATCAGATAAAAATCATCAAACTCTTATTATATAATCAAAAGGTTCAATGGAATTATGAACATCGTTTAAACTTAATCACAATTTACCAGTTGGAATACGGGGATATTTTCTCTCGTGAATGAATTAACACAGCGAATTATTTAATGATTTGCTGTTTTAAGTTTTCTTGTAGGGAAAATTACATCATTTCAATAATAATGTTTAGATCCAAAAACCATTACATAATTAAGATACATTCATTATCGTGACATGTGTTTTAGGTTTTGAAAATATCCGGGAATGGTCAGTTGTTTGAAGTGGAATCTATACTAATATTTGCATTTAACATTTTCATTTTAATCGTCAAGATGGAGCTGAACGCATGGACTGCTGCGATTCAGAGCATATCAATGATACACGATGCCTTCCGATCGAAATTCCTCAAGATGATCAATTCTTTAGTCAATTTAATGAAAGATGCATGAATTTCCGAAGGTCTGCCAGCTGTCCAAAATGCTCACTGGGTAAGCTCTTAAGCTATTATTAAGCTGAGAAAATCTTGGTGAGTAAATATAGTTGTGTTTCTGGAAAGAAAATGTGATTTAGATATTATACTTGTTCAACATAAGTCTTGACATTGGCGTTTGATACAAGTCTAAGAACAAGGATTCTCTTCTTTGCACTCTCTTAGATGAATATTTGTATTTGAACTAATTCTTAAAGTTAGTTTGAAGCCTCCTTTGAATATAATAAATATTTCAGATTGATTCTTGCTATTAAAACCTTACGATAAGATTCCATAAATTTTATTATTTAGTGATTAATGGATATGGTTACAATATTTGATTTTTTCTCTATCAGTTAGGATTTTCTTTGCATCGTTATAAATATTTTTTATCAATAGCAACGTTGGTCATTATTAATTGAAAAAAATGTTGTAGATGCAAAAAGTCTCCTTGTTCAGTATTCTTGTTCAATATTGCTAAAATATTCTTCTTGTTCAATTATTGACCTACTAATTCCTTGACATATAAGAATTGTTCATAATTATTATACATTTTTGTGTAAGGGTATTATTTATGCTTTATCCAAACGTTTTTATTTAGCATTCAATTTGAAACAGTTAGTTTTTAACCGCGACATAGCGACTCATACAATGACTCCGAGTTTTTTTTTTCAAGTACAAACTTTTAGCTTATAACTCCTTCATCTCATGACGGATTGGAGTAAAAATTACAGTTTTGGAATAAGGAGGTCCAACATTTTCGATTGATGTATTTGACCAAGCCCAAGGTCGCATAGTTTAATTTACTCTAATCGTGTCTGAAAGAATTTCAATTTGATGGTAGGCTGGTAGAGATCCTAATTAGTAATAAAATCGAATCGGGTACACGCGTGCCACACGCTTGGTATTGTTGGCGCACAAAAATATAGCTAATAAAAAGGGAAAAGTTCTCATATATTAATTGACTCTAATTCTGCCTAAAAGTATTTGAAGCGCCGCAGGTATTGAGGATTAGCTTTTCCTTTTCTTATAATGGACTATGTTAGCTTGATAGCATCAACTTTTGATTCTTCTATGTTTAGTTCAAGGAACTATTTAGTTTTCAAAAGCAATAACGAACAAAGTATAATAAAATTAAACTTCCAGGTTAATCGTGCATTGTATATTTCTTTAGCGCAAGGTTTTGGACAATTAGTATATAATGAGATATTAGTTTAAAAAATATGAGAAAATAGTCAGAAACAATAATTTTACTGAATTATTCCTGAATTTCATAACAGTTAAATTAATACCTTTTCACCTATGGATTGTAGTTCAGTTGATTTTTGTATATTAAACATGTTAAACGTTTCTTTCTTTGTACGTTATTACTCCATAACATCAATTTGGAGAGATACACTATCATAGAATATCGATGTGTAAGAAAAAGTCGCTGAAAATATGAATAGTTTCATATGGACCACTCATTCCTTTTTCGTGGTGTTGGAATCAATGTTTTGGACTCTATGCTAACCTCTTCATCATGTAGAGTTCTTTAGAAACATTTCTTGAAAGACGTCACTGAAATATCAACTTACCCCAAAGTTATTTCTCTAGACGCTTCATTTTCTAGTATTAAACACAGAGGAAGTAAGCAACTTGAGAATGTTTCTTTAGGTTAATTAAATGTATAGTTTATCTTTAAAATAACTCTTAATCTTAGGACCCCGGGATCAGTTAAATTCTCCCACCAGTTGCGTTGACGGTTCCATGATTTACGGAAGTGATCTTCACACCGTTCAATCACTGCGACTATTTCAAGACGGTAAGTATTCCTCAACAGTTAAATTTTTGTTTACAGAAACAGAAAGAATAATTTATTGTTATACATTGTCCAAATAACTAT